GGTGGGGGGGGGGGGGGGGGGGGGGGGGGGGCGTTGGGGTCGTATTTTAGTTAATTGTTAAGGAAAACATGGGCGAGTCCCCGCTCGCACAGGATGCTTTATCCACCACCGACCCCTCGTCTTTGCTCTCGCGCTTCTCGCTTATATTTGTCTTTAAAGGGACTGTGACACGCTTCTGCGCATGTGCGGCATCTTGATTTTTGTTCTGGGGAACGCTTTTGTAAGATTGGCTTTTGGTGAAGAAATCATCTTCCATCGACCCTGAGACGCCCGAGAAAGCCATAATATCAGTATTCAAGAGCTATTTGGTCCATATTTTGTATTTCTGTGCAACGGAGAAGTGCACGAAGCCATGTTCTTTGTTGTCAGTGTTCCCACAAACGGATCAGGTGTGGCGTGTAATGTGGTCATCTGATTTTCATTTCTGTCCATTAAGTTCTCCAGTAAACTAGGCAAAATGAAACATGATTCAGGCATTAAGGAAGTAAGTAAATGTGTTCTACTGACATCACAGGTAACCCAAGGTCGAAATATGACCATCGGCAAATACGAGGATTTGTATGGGAAAATGAAAATGTAACCTACGAAAATGAAAGGATTTTAATAAAAAACAGCTTACCTTACTGAAAATGTGTTTTACGTCTCTCCTATGTGGCCCATGGGCCGATCCATGGCCGTTTTATGGGTTGTACTGTAAACGGTTTTCTCTCTCTGTATAAGGTTTATTATAGAGAGAACAAACCGGTTCAAATAACACCCTATTTAATAAATGGCCATAACTCGGCTGGGAAACCACACAGGAAAGAAGAAACACAACAGTAAGCAAGGTTAGTCGATATTTATTTAATTCCTTTTACATTCGTAGCCTACAGAAACAATTGTTTCTCTCCCATACAAATCCTTATATTTTGAACGTTACGCAACAGTGCCGATGGTCATATTTCGAACTTGGGTCACCTGTGCTGGCATAAGCTTTGGAAGATCAAAATTACGCCAATCATGTAGCAACTTCACGTTAAAACCGGAAAAGAACCAACTGTAATAGCTTGTTTAGCAGGCAGAGATGCTCAGGCGGGTTTTGTATACTGGATTTGTCCAAAGACCGAGCGGCGATTCAAGGCGATTGCGATTGTTGCCAGACATCTGCAATGCCGATATTCACAGGCAGTCACTAGACCATATTCCTTTTGTCTGTGCTATTTAACATGATTGTATTTTTGGTGGTAACGGCCGCCCATACGTAATTATCGGAACTTTCGAGAAACGGTCCTGAGGTAAGCTCCTGGGAAACCAGTAACGTTCAAAGTCTGAAACCAACCGCAAAGATTCGTTTCCACAAAGACTTTAAGGGGATTCATCTTTAAAACTGGTAATACAGTTGATAAAACCAAATTTACGTTTTTCACCCCGCTCA